ATATTATTATTACGGAGTAATTATTTTCGTTGATTTAATTAAAATTCCTTAAACTAGATTAATTGCATAATAATTGGCAAAATGTTTGGGGGTGTTTGCATGCTTTCTGCCACATCCTTGTTGCCGGATATCACAGCAGCATCCATATTCTACTGGCTATCTCTATTACCAGATTATCATGGATTTAACACTACACTCTACTCAGTTCTTGGAATATTATTTCTGGCGTATGCCCACGTGTCCGCCTTGGCACTTGGTATTTTCATTCGGAGACGCGCCAAGTCGTCAGATCATCCATTAGACCCTTATATAAGGACACCCACAAAGATTTACTTCATATGGTATGTATGTATCCATCCCTCTTATATTCTACCTATCTCCTTTGATCTCTTTACATTTTCAAATTAGAAATTACTACCCCCTCCGTCCCAAAAAAATTTATACCTTTCAAAAAAATTGTGTCCCACAATCTCCTACCTATTTATATTAAAAAACCACTTTTACCCCTTACTTTTTCAAACCCTACCTATCACATCATACCTTTTTCCAAATAATCTACACATCACATCCTACTTTTACCCATCACATCAAAGGTATTTTTGGAAAGTCAACACAAAATTATCCCTCCCTTAATTTCTACTTTAGTTAAAATGGGTAACACCTTAATTATGAGACGGAGGGAGTATATTTTTTTAAGAGCCATGTTTTTTTTTGACGTCTTAAGAGCCATGTTAGGTTAACAAACAGAATGATCACAAATTCCACAAACTTACTATTTACTCCCTCCGTCCCGGAGTATTCGTCCAGTTTTGACTTTTGGAATTGTTCATCTAAGCACTTTGACTCATCAAATTCTCTCAATGTGTAAGGCTAAAAATAGTCATGTGTGATCTTGTTTGATTTGTCTTAACATATAGATTATTAATATATAATTTTTATAATTTTTTAATATACAAATTACAAGATAAAATGGATTAAAGAAATGTATTGGATGGTGTGTAAAAATGAAAGTGGACAAATACTCTGGGAGAGAGGTAGTATAATTTAAATTTTCATTTTAAACTATTTTAGACTATTTAATATTTTTTTTATTGACGTTAACAAATAGTAAGTTTGTAAAGTTTGTGACGATTGTTTTTGTGAACCAAGCATTTCCTTTTTTTTAAATATTTATGGATTATTGTTGAAACTCTCTTTGTCTCAAACCACAAAGACACATTTTATTTTTTTGATCAAAGTGTGATACACTTTGAGTATAAATAATAATCAAATAAATTGCTACTAATCCCTCATACAAACGATACGCCATAGGTGCCCGAATGAATTGCAGTACAAATATTGTGAAAATGAAAGGGAAAAATACTAAAGTAGGAGTAAAACATTGAAAATATACCAAAATACGAATTCCATGTTTTTTATTCCCGAATTAGGAGTTTAAAATTCATTTACATTACAAACCATGATCATGTACATTATCAAAAAGTATAGTAAAATGCGCATGTACGTGCAGTGCCACATTACCATAGTGCGAACTCCTATTTAGGAAATAAAAACAAGGAACTTGTATTTTATTACTTTCTCTATGTTTTACTTCTAATTGTTAGAATAAACCCCCCTCATATTTGCATTTTTAGAGTAGGGACGAGGGGTTTGGGGAGTTAGGGATAGGAATAATCAATTTTACAAACAAAACACAGTGGGTACCTAATTTGAAATAAACTCCCCCAGACGGTCAGACAGTAGTTACCTCAATTGGAGTATTATATATACATATATATATATATATATATATATATATATACACACACACACAATACCTGCTGCTCTACTGCCTCTACACATGCATGCAGGATGGCTTTTGTGGGAGGTATGACAATTGCAGTCCTAATGGGGTTGAAATTGGCGAAGCATAACGGCAGATCATTCATGGAGGCAGCATTGTATGCTTGCTTCATTCACTCGGACAGTGTTCTCGTTCTACTCATTGTCTTGGCATATTTAAGCTGTCAACACAACCCCGACACATTTTTCTCGCGTAATCACAGGTTGCTTCAAACAGCGCTATCGAAGATTAAGAGTTCAAATCCAACGTCGTTAAGCAAATAAATATCAAGAGGCCAAGAAATCCAAAATTCAAATGTGTTGTTATTGTTGTTGTTACTTGTTAAAGAGTACCCCACCTCGAAAAAAGTGTGAAGAAAAATAATGGGTATATAAAGTCTTGAGTTGAACTAAGTAATCGATTAGATTCAATCCTTTAGCTAGTGTGATTCTAGTCAAGTGTCTTATAGCCCAATCCAGTTATCTTTACCTTATCCTAAATGTTATCATTACTACTATTATGAGAAAAATAATTATTGTTATCAGTATTATTACTCAATATGTTCTACTACCGTTTTGTCTTTTTCTAATCAAAATTGATAAATTTCGAATACTACTCCCTCAGCTTATATCTTTCTTTCCGTTGCGCAAAACGAGGAAAAATCTCAAGTTTTTTCAATCTATTTTATTTAAATATTAGTATAGAAATAAAAAATAAAACATACATATTTAAAAACTACATCAAAAGTTCAACAAAACAAGTGGTGCCAAGAATATTTTATTTTATCATATAGGCCATGAAAAACACAAATAAATATAAATTCCCGTGAAATTGGAATAGTGCTCTGGAAAGAAAGTTTTAGGACGGAGAGAGTAATTAAATAGAATTCATATTAAATACTGATATAAAAATAATATTATTACATACATTTTACATAACATTTTCAAAATATTATTTTATCTCATCAATATATTTTATAATAAAGTTACGGTTGAGTTGAGCATTATGCATGGTAACCACCAAACCCTTCCCAAGTACTCCGTAACTAAAACCGTAACAAAAACCATAATTAACCCTGCCTCTCCGCGCCTCATTGCGACATTGCCAATCGCAGGTTGACTCGCTAGACTAGTCAATGTGTCACCCCAAAACTAGACCTGGCCCACTGGGAGAATCACTTGGACATGCACATATATTGGCCCGATTACATAAACAATAATAACATCTCTAGCCCTATATACTCATCACACACCTCATAATTTCTCTTATTGGCTAGCCCTGATCAAGAAATTACAAACTAAAATCTTATCTGTTCAACCACGACTTTGTTTGGCATCAGCCAGTGGTGGATCCAGAAAAATTTATAATTGGGGGCACCATCAGCAGGATGTATTAAATGTGAAAGAGCATAAAAATGTCATTGTAATTTTAAAATTTATACATCAATTTAATTTAAAAAAAACTTTCAACGTACTACTCCGATCCATTTGTTCGAAAATGTTTTTCTCATATACGAAGTGTTATTTACAATGTTAAAGTTTATTCAATGTGTTTGATTATTTTGACTATATTTCATATACTATCTCAGTTTCTCAAAAGAGTTCCTCTTTTGACTTTGGGAGAAAATAATGAAGTGTTAAATTGTAGTTGACTTTCCAATTTTGCCCTTGATGTGATGGGTAAAAGTAAGATGTGATAGTTTAGTTGTTAGTGAAAAAGTATGATGTGATAGGTAGGGTATGAAAAAGTAGGGGTAAAAGTGGTTTTTTAATAGAAAGGGAAAGTGTTTTAAGAAAAACAAAAAAATGAAAGAGGAAGGGTTTTAAAAAACGGAGAGAGTATAATATAAGCATGTCAACTTTTATTTTGTAGATTTTTATGTAGTTTTTAATATATAAGTTTTATTTTTAATTTTACACATATAATCAAATAATTAAAAATAATTTTGGTCAAATTTTGTAAACTGGAATGAGAAAACAATTTCAGTGGAGGAGTAGTTAAAATGAATAAAAATTAGTATCAAAGATTAAAATCTTCTTCTCTGCACCTTAAAACACATACTCCCTAAAAAATACTGTGTAAAGTGGAAGCTCGGTCCATTTTAGAAAAATGAGTGGGGGCGCTGTCAATTTAAAACAAAATTAATGGGGTAGCATTTTTTTAATAAAAAAGAGATTAATTTATCAACTGAAATTTTATCTAAAGCCTTACTTATTAGAATTTGACTGGGGGCAAGTGCCCCATAATTGTAAACGTGCATCCGCGCCCCTGGCATCAGCGTTAATGTATTGAAAATATTACTCCCTCTGTCCCAAAAAGATTTACACCTTTCAAAAAAATTGCGTCCCACAATCTCCTACCCATTTCTATTAAAAAACCATTTTTACCCCTTACTTTTTCAAACCCTACCTATCACATCATACCTTTTTCTTAATAATCTATACATCACATCCTACTTTTACCCATCACATCAAGGGTATTTTTGGAAAGTCAATACAAAATTATCCCTCCCTTAATTTCAACTTTAGTCAAAATGTGTAAATCTTGTTGGGACGGAGGTAGTACCTAACTGTAGTATTTAGCGTTAGTACTTTCAAAACTAATCTAAATCGTTACAATTTTATCCAAAACGCTAACGTTATTTGAAAACGTTATTCCAAAACAACTCTTAAAAATAAATGGAGTTGGAGCCTCGTATGTGTTGAACCATCATCACAGCATATAGCCATCATTAGCCTCGGCATCGTGCACCACGCTGTTGTTGCCTCTTCAACTCCAAGTCACTCTATTGAAACCCAATCCATCCCTCTTTTTTGTCATTTACCTTTGGGAAACCCCAAATCGTTGCTAGAATTCGTCACAAAGTAGTCGTCCCAAAAAAGGATGGCGGCAAAAGACCAACACAAAGCTTAAATTTTCAAAAGCCTCAAAGATTCTTTAAAGTTTAAAAAGTATTGTGACTCGGTACGGTGAAACTGTTACAACTGCGATATTCTTTACAAAATCTTTAATTTAAGCTCTTGTGGTCGTTATTTATTGTCGGACGACCCCATCACAAACTTTTGCGTTTAATTTCGTCACAGAATATTTATTAGAGCATATGTGTTGGGGGAGAAGCAACAAGTAGGATACGACACCTACAAGGATCAACTTCAAGACAACCAACCAAACACTTAACCCAATTTACCACAATTGATTAACCAAGCACACAAAATCAGCAACACATCAAATAAACCACAACCAAATATGAAGAATAAAGATGCAAATGACACACGATTTTTATACGTGGAAAACCCCTTCGATGTGAAGGATAAAAACCACGGGACTTATAGGGAGTCCGCCCTCTTCTTCTCTTATTATGCAAATTGAGGGTAAAAACACCCAAACTCAGTCTACAAGGATGTCACAGCCCACCAACAACAACATACATAAGAGGCATCAACAATAGAGAAGGAAAATCAGGATTATCACCCAAAAACGCAGCGTCGCACCAGCTGCGATTGCAGAAGATCCGTAGCTCCGATTGATGTGAAAATTGAACAGATTGAAGCCCTAAGTGTTGGGAACAACCTCTGAAAATTTCAGCTCAATCCAACGGTTGGATCTCCGGCGATGATCGAATTTGTGCGGCTGGTCTGTAAATTCTGCACCAGCACCTTTCCTCTCTCAATTCTGATATTTTTTTTTTCTGCTCTGTCCGTAAGTCCTCTACTGCCCAGCCCTTTTTTCTCCTTTTTGTTAGTCAACAAAGTAAAGGAAAAACTTTCCTATTATTGGACCCCCACAAAGAAAAATGGAACCCAAATGAAAATGGGCTGGACCCACAACAATCTCCCCCTCCAGCCCGATTTGGGGAAGATCATACGCAAACCACATCAAGAAGACATACCTGCAAGCTTGGAACAAAACTCAAGCTTGCTTCCAGGAACCACCTTTGTCAACATATCAGCACCATTCTTGTTTGTGTGAATCTTCTTCAACTTCATTAGTTGCTTTTCAATGATATCACGCAACCAATGATACCTCACATCAATATGCTTTGTGCGAGCATGATACATGGTGTTTTTGCTCAAGTCTATAGCACTTTGACTATCGCAAAACACAACATACTCACGTTGCTTCAATCCCAACTCTTGAAGGAAACGCTTCAACCAAATCATCTCTTTGCCTGCTTCTACTGCTGCTATATACTCTGCCTCAGTTGTTGACAATGCTACACACTTTTGTAGCTTGGATTGCCATGAAATGGCTCCCCCTGCAAATGTAAACAAGTAACCTGAGGTAGACTTTCTATTATCAAGATCTCCAACCATGTCAGCATCTGTAAATCCCTCAAGAATAGGCTCACCGCCTCCAAAACACAAACTCAGTTTTGAGGTGCCTCGCAAATATCTCAAGATCTACTTTACAGCTTCCCAGTGAACCTTGCCTGGATTAGCCAAGAATCTGCTAAGCAATCCAACAGCATGTGCTATATCCGGCCTTGTACACACCATAGCGTACATCAATGAACCAACAGCAGAAGAGTAAGGAATATGAGACATGCTTTCCTTCTCTTTATCAGAACTAAGACAAGAACGCTTGCTCAACTTGAAATGACCGGCAAGTGGTGTATTAACCGGCTTGGCATTCTTCATATTGAACCTTTCAAGCACACGTTCAATATACTTCTCTTGTGAGAGCCAAAGCTTACCAGCTTTTCTATCACGAACAATTTCCATGCCAAGAAGTTGCTTCGCATTACCCAAATCTTTCATTTCAAAGGACTTTGACATATCCTCTTTCAACCTGCGAATCATCTCAACATCTTGTCCCACTATCAACATATCATCAACATACAAACAAAGGATAATGAAGTTATCATCAGAGAACTTTCTAAAATACACACAAGGATCTGCAGTAGTACGCCTATACCCATTGCTACTCATGAAGGAATCAAACTTGCGGTACCATTGCCTTGGTGCTTGCTTGAGCCCATAAAGACTCTTTTTCAGCTTGCAAACAACATTCTCTTTTCCTTTGACTTCAAATCCTTCCGGCTGCTCCATGTAAATTTTATCATCCAAATCACCATGTAAAAATGCAGTTTTTACATCAAGCTGCTCAAGCTCAAGATCCAAACAAGCCGCTAGTCCCAAAATCATGCGAATGGAAGTCATCTTCACCACTGGTGCAAAAATTTCATCGTAATCAATGCCTTTCTTCTGATGGCATCCCTTCACCACCAGTCTTGCCTTCCGTCTCACTAGCTTCTGGCCATCTTTCTTGTTCTTGAACAACCACTTGCTCTTCAAGACTTTCTTCCCTTTTGGGCGCTTCACCAAGTCATATGTTTGATTCTTCTTCAAAGAATCCATCTCCTCTTGCATAGCCTTCAGCCAATGGTCTTTGTCTGGATGTGACAAGACCTCTTTAAGGCTTTCAGGCTCCCCCTCATCAGTGATTAGGATATATTCTGAACTTGGATAAAGTCTTGAAGGTTGTCGAACTCGAGTTGACCTTCTCAATGTTGGCTCTTCCACCTGTGGGCTGTTTTGCTCCCCCTGATTAGAAGACTCTCCACTTTCTATTTCAACAGCTTCATCATCAGGTTGTGGTACAATCTCTGGTTGTACCTCTTCAATACGGTCATGTCCATGAGTATTTTCATGACCATCATCGGGAGCATCACCTGTTTGTTGAACATCTGGAACAGAAACATGAGACATATAAATAGCACCATGAGATAAATCAGGATAATAAGTATTACCAGCACCTAAGACATGAAAACCCATCTCGTGCTCGTAAAATACAACATCTCTACTCCTCACAACTCTTTTCTTTGCTGGATCATAAAGTCTGTAACCAAACTCTTCATCACCATATCCAACAAACACACAAGGAGAACTTTTGAAGTCGAGCTTCAATCTCTGTTCCTTCGGTACATGCATAAAGGCCTTGCATCCAAACACCTTCAAATGGGAATAAGAAGGATCTCTCCCAAACCAAACTCTCTCAGGAATATCAAACTCCAAAGGAACTGATGGCGCTGTGTTTATCAAGTACACAGCGGTTCCAACTGCTTCTCCCCAAAATGACTTAGGAATATTGGACATCCTAAGCATACATCTCACTTTCTCAACAATAGTTCTGTTCATCCTCTCGGCAACACCATTATGTTGTGGAGTACCAGGTTCTGTTCTTTCATGCCGAATGCCATATCTTGAACAATATGCTTTAAACTCATTTGAAGTGTATTCACCTCCATTATCAGTTCGAAAACGCTTCAATTTGCAATCTGTCTCCCTTTCCACCATGGCATGAAACTTCTGAAAGATACCAAACACATCGCTTTTGTGCTTCATCATATAAACCCAAGTTCTCCGAGTAGCATCATCAATAAAAGTAACAAAGTATTTGTTACCACCAAGTGAATCCACCTCAATAGGACCACACACATCAGAGTAAACCAACTCTAGTTTCAGTTTCTTTCTCTTGGATCTCCTCGGAAAAGAAACTCTATGCTGCTTTCCTGCTAAATAATGATCACAAGGGTCAAGTGAAATGGTAACATCAGCAGGAATAAGAGACTTACCAGCCAACAGCTTTATGCCCTTCTCACTAACATGGCCCAATCTGCGATGCCATAAGTTAGGAGAAGTTTTCTCCTCAACAGCATTCAACTCACTAGTACACACTTTCAAGTGTGTCTTATACAAGGTGCAACAAAGCTTGCCACGAGCAA